AGATTGATCGGACTGTCTCTCTCTCTCTGGCCTCTGAACTGGGTGAAGGAACCACTCGCAGAGAGGCACGCCAGGACAGTGACATGGTGCAGAGACCAGAAGGGAGTGGATGCTGGCACACGGCCGAGGATGTGTGTCCGGGTGACCCCATCCCTGGAGGTGCCCTGGATCCTGGACTCCCTGCTCTGCTGCCTTCCCCTGAGACCCCAATCTCTTCCTTCGCCTGGCAAAGATGAAACGAGTCTCTGCTTCATAGCAGGAAGTGTTTATGTGAGTGCACGCATGTGGCTGTGCGTGCATGCAAAGGGAACCCTCAATCTCTTCTAGGTGGTTGAGTTAAATGCCTTTTGCAGCCCTTCACAAAACAAGCCTAGTAGATGAGTGTGCTGTCAAGAGCATTTTCCCTTCCCCAATCAGCTCTAAAAGAAGACAGTCCATTATCACTGGAGGCTCTGAGAGTGATTTACAGTGGAGGCCCGCAGCTGGCCTGCCTGAGGCCTGCTTGCCTGGAGCACATGGCTAGGCGCCTGGATGGCCAGGATCAGCCTGAAATCCAGCTGGAGCAAGAGAGGCCCCTCAGTAAGAAGTGCAGCTGTGCTGCCTCCTCCATCCGAGGGCGTACTCCATGTTAAACAGCAGACACTCCAAGGAATGACTAAAATTACATAACAACCAACATTTATGGAATGCTCCCTGTGGGTCAGACGTCACGCTGGGTGCTTCAGAACACTGCTGCCTTTGCTCCGCAAACCGAGACGTCAAAGTGGGTATTACCAAATGAGATGAGGGCATCAAGAGACTTGTCCACAGTCACATGACCGGGGCTTGCTGCAGAAACACATGGTGGGCCTGCGGGCCTCCGTGCAGCGGGAGGACTCGCTGCCAGCGCCACAGCCTGAGCCCCACAGTGACGCTGGGCACCAGTGCGAACAGTGGGCAGGGGGTGATGAATAAAGATTTCTTTCTCCTCTGTGGTTTCCCTTTTTTTAAAACACGGTCTGATAAATTTACTTACTAACGATTTTTGAGTAAACTACAATGACCACAATTTCAAAATCATTAATAATTCATGACTAAGGGCCAAAAACTATATAATCTTCACAGGCAGGAACCATAAATACTTCTTTGAGATGAGGCTGAGAATATTTTTACCAGCTACATGGAAAGTATCTACCAACTTGAAGCCAACCATCAAAGATACATTTTTTAGAAATGATTATAAGCTGTTCAAAGCCCCCGTCCGAGATGACTCTCCAGGAAGTCTTCGTGGCCTCCGCTGGCACCCCCGGGGGCTTTGTCTGGGTCTCCTCTCCGCTGTTCATCACTCTTTCCTTTGCTTATGCCTGTCTGTGCCTGTGAGAGGCCTCGGAGGACGTGAGGACAGGAGTCCTCCAGCCGGGCAGGCACGTGGGGCACCAGGAAGTCCCTGGCTGAGAGCAGGGGTTAGTCACCACCTGTAAGCCACAGCTTCTCGTCCATGGCTGCACACTGCGTCCACTCAGGGGAATTAAAAAACTCTGATGCCTGGGTCACACTGCCAGAGATTCTGACTTAACTGGTTTGGAAAGAGGCCTGGATAACAGGCTATTTAAAGATTTCATTTATTTTATTTTTAGAGAAAAGGGAAGGGAGGGAGAAAGAGAGGGAGAGAAACATCAATATGTGGTTGCCTCCCACATGCCCCCAGTTGGGGACCTGGCCCACAGTCCAGGAGTGTGCCCTGACTGGGCATCGAACCAATGATCCTTTGGTTTGCAAGGTGGCGCTCAGTCCACTGAGCCACACCAGCCAGGGCTGGACATCAGGGTATTTAAAAGCTCCAGGTGATTATGATGTGCAGCAATGTTTGTGAACCACTGCCACTAAGCGCTCAGCACAGGGCCTGGCCCAACACAGTTGCTGACCCCTGTTTGCTATCAGATGGGGGCAGAGGGCAAGCCATTGAAAGGTGCCATTGAAAGCCATTGCCCCTTGCTGCCTTACAGGAATAAGGACTCCATTGTCATTCTCCATCCTTCCAAAGAAGCCAGAAGCCTACATTTTTACGTAAAATCTCCAATTTTTAAAAAGATTTTATTTATTTATTTTTAGAGAGGGGAAGGGAGGGAGGAAGAGAGGGAGAGAAGTATCAATGTGTGGTTGCCCCTCATGTGGCCCCCACTGGGGACCTGGTCTACAACCCAGTCATATGCCCTGACTGGGAGTCAAACTGGTGACACTTTGGTTCACAGCTCAATCCACTGAGCTATGCCAGCCAGGGGAAATCACCAACTTTTAAATGTAGCCCTGGCTGGTGTGGGTTGAGTGCCAGCCTGTGAACCAAAGGGTTGCCCATTTGATTCCCGGTCAAGGCCTGTGCCTGGGTTGTGGACCAGGTCCCCAGTTAGGGGTATGTGAGAAGCAACCGATCGATGTATCTCTCACACATCAACGTTTCTCTCCCTCTCTTTCTCCCTTCCTTCCCCTCTCTCTGAAAATAAATATATAAAAATAAAATAAAATAAAAGTGGATACCGTATTCTAAAAAATTATAATAGAGTATGGGCCAAATAAAACACATCTTTGGGCTGAATTGGGCCTGGCGAGTTCACTGAGAATAGCTGCCCATCCTCCCTTTGCCATGCCGGCCCACGGCCACTCAGAGACGTGCCCAACCCCCACCCAGGGTGGAAACTATATGCTCACCAGAGAAGGCATGAGCTGGCCCATGTAGCCTCATCACCCAAGGCACAGCCTGTCCCCATCCACTTGTTCTACCTGTCTTTTTCTTGCGTTTCACAGGGACCTAGCTTGATCGGTACCTAGCATCCTGGGTAAGGCACCAGGCATCAGGAGATGCAGCTTTCACAAACTGAGGGAGGGGAGAATGCAGAAAGAGGAGGTGGATGGAAACGGCATGTTATAACACATCAGGAGGAACATCCTCGAAGTTTGTTATCAATTGCTTTCTCTTGTTTTTCTAACAAAGCAAAAGCCCTTTTAGAGAGTCAGCACCCTCTTTTCCAGAGCTCCTGAAACCATCTTACATATCTTTCAGGATTAAAGTTGGATATTGTGATAAACAACCCCATTCTCGGTTTTCTCTCACTTCAAGCACTTTTCAGGAGTGTGATCTGAAATGCGCTTCAGCAACTCACCTGATGGGAGTAGCCAGGAAAGTGGCAATTAGGGGAGTCCAGTTGCCAAGGAGAGAAAAGGGGCAGGGAAAGAGTATTTCTACCAGTTAAACCTGCTAGCCTGCTCCATGGTTTCCCAGCTACCTTCTTAATGTGGATAAATGGGATGCTGTTGTTCTGAAACCTAAGACCTCAGTTAGGTTTAAAGGATCCTGGTGTAGAGGGGTTGGTCCCCACCCTTGCTCACCTCACAGAGGGAGGCCAGGTGCCTGCAGGCCTTGTGCTCACTCCTATGCTGGCTCCTCCACCCTCAAGTCTCAGGGACTTTGTAGGGGACAGGCACACCTGTGCCTGCTTCCAGAAAATTCTCAGTACCAGAAAGGAGTAGGAGAATCCAGCTTATTCAGCTCCTAGATCACCCACTGGGGCTGACATTTAGATCTTTCCAACAGCATCAAACTTCCCGAGCTACCTTCCAGCCATCATTTCAGGTAGGCTAATTGGACACGAAAACCCACACTGGCTATTTTGGCTACATCTGAGAAAAGAAACAGTAGGCGAGAGGATGAAAGTCATAACAAAGTAAATGGGGCCTTTGCAGTCCAAACCCAGCCTGCCTCCTCAGAGCTCACAGAAAGCAAAAGACCAAGTCTTGCCATTTTTGAGCCCCTGGGTCCAGCAGAGCCTGAGAAACCCCCTTTCCTCATCAGAATTGTGTCCTTTTACAATCAAGAATGTTAGTGCACAAGTTTGATGAGTCTCAGGATTGGTTGATATTTACAATGAGATATATTCCTTCAAAGCCCTGCACCCATAAGACTCAAATTTCAACTCCCCTGAGTGTGAGCCCTCCCTACGGTAGCCCGTGAGCGCCTGCACCGCTCCTCACCCAAGGTTCAACAGTCTTACAACTTTCCTGCTCAGTCTCTATGACTTTGACACGCCATTACTTGGCCTGAAAAACTCCTACTCATTCAGGAGGCAGCCTATACATCAGCTTTTCTGCACAGCCCTTCTTGGCAATCACTGGCAGAGTTAGGCGACCCCTTTTCTGTATTGAAATTCTACCTTTTTTGCCCTTCTCTCACTGTGTTGGCACTCTCTCACACTGCATTGCAATGATCTGTTGCGCATCTCTTCCAACCATGCCGAATACGCCCTGACATCAAGAACGGTCCCATCCACGCCTCAGACCCAGCCCTGGCACCTGGCAGAGAGCAGATGGGTTCAGAGTAGTACGTAGGCTTCAAGAACAGACACAATATTTTATAGATTACCCATCAAGAAGTGAGACCTATTTCCCCACTCCTTGAATCTGGGCTGAACTTGTGACTCACTTTGAAATACAGGAAGAGGCAGAAGTGACACCGTGCTGGTTCTGAGACTAGGACTCAGGAGGTCCTGCAGCTTTCACTCCCAAACTTTTGAAGCCTTGAACCTCCAGGTGGGTGGCTTGCTGGAAGATGAGGGAACGCTGGGGGAGAGCTAAAGCATTCTGATGCTCAGTCAGCCCCTAGGTGACAGCAATTACCCACAAATGCCTACGAGAGCCCAGGGGCGGTCAGCAGAGCCTGGCCTGTCAGCAGACCTGCCCAGGTAAGCCTAGCCCAAACTGCTGACCCACAGAATTGTGAACTATATGCATGGTTGTTTTAAGTCACTAAAATTTGGGGTGATTTGTTACACAGACAAAGCTAACTGATACATTCAGCAAGAAATCAATGCTGTAAGTGACACTGGTTGATAACCCTAGTTGCCAACTATCATTTAGTCAGGGATTCCAGCTTGGGATTCAGAGAGGAGACCCAAGATAACTACCAGCCTGCTCCTTCAGGTCCCTTCCAATAGCTGCCTCCCACCAGCCCTCACCAGTGACACATTTACCTCCTTTTTCTCCCGTGAGCAGGACCGGCTTCTCTCAGCCTTTCGCAGAGTCTGACCTGCAGCAGTTCAAAAGCAGAACCAGAGATTAAGGCTGTTTTAAAACAGCTAGTTTATCACCACAAAAGCTTTTTATTTGCAAACTGGATAGACAGGACCAATCATAATCAAATGATTTTAAGAAAATGCAGCCTATTATTATAATGGGAAAATGGTATACTCTTATCTTAAAATAAACCAATGGCAAGGAAATGGCAATTCACACACGTTATTTGACTATAATGAACAAAGCCTCAGCTCTTTAATCTGGAACATTATCTGTGCTCTACAAGGGCGGTCAGACTCTAGTTTTCCCAGTGGAATTGAATTTTTATTAAATTGTTTGGATTATACAGAATGCATTCCACTGTGTGCACACACATAACCTTTGCTGAGTGAGTGCATCCCAATGCACTGCACCAAACCCCCAAGGTCAGACACATGGGTGTCTGTACAGATGTGAATTAGCAGGAGTCACCCACGTTTCACATAGCGGGCAACTACAGGGAGAATGGTTGCTGTGCTCGGAAAACTAGAACACTGACACTTGAAGGCACGCATAAATCCAACAGATCAACATCAGAATGTTGAAATACACTGTTTCAAATGCAGTTTTCAGAACTTTTATGGCAGTGTCCATTATAAAAGAATTCTTGATCATATAAAATATATATTAATATATTTTATATATTAATATATAATATCTAAAATTTTATATTTTATATTATATATTATAAATATATATTCTATAATATATAATTATATATTATAAATATATATTCTATAATATATAATTATATATTATATAAAATTATATGATATATATTTATATAAAATATCTATTAATATATTTATATATAAAATATAAAAAAATTCTTGATGAAGAATTAATGGATTGCCTTGGTTTTGAGAGAGAAAATAACAGCCACCGCACATTGCCAATGCTCTTCCTCAACTGTCTGGCTTCACTCCTGAGTGGCTGTTTGTGAGAATGTCACAACCACATGCCCCGTTAGCCAGGAGCACTCAGCAGGCAGGAGGGAACAGGTTATGTGATGACTTACTGAGAGGCAAGAGCTGGGAACTGAGTCTCAGAGGAAAGACTTCTGTCGTAGGACGTGGTCCCTTTCCGGGGGCCCACACAGGGCGGGGCATGATGGGGTGGGGCCCCAGCTGGCCAGAAAGCACAAGTCAAGAGACAGTGCTCTTTCTAAGAAGGTGAGAATAAGGGAAGAGCAGAGGCCGAAAGATGAACCTCTGGCCAAACTTTGGGGCCAATATATAAAAGGATTTAGAAAGAGACACCTGAAGAGTTTATAGGAGACCTTGGATTACACAGGATCGTGGTATGGTAGACATCTTTTGGGTCATCTGCTCAGCCAAAATGACATCCTAAACTGCCCCTTTGAGCTTCCTCTCCTCCTCATCCCCAAATGGGACCCTGACCCAGCTGCAGCCAATCAGAATCCCAGCCTCAGGAACCTAAATTGGTTCCGAGACAGAGAGGGTAAGAGGGCCGGAGCAGGGCTATCTCTGCGAGTGGGCTTTGTCGCTGTGAGCAGCCAGCCGTAACAGAGAATGCCAAGATGGGATGCACTCATCTGAAACTGACTGCGTGCCTGCCTTCGTGCTCCACAGACATGCCCTTGCCAGGGGTGTCAAACTCATTTTCACTGGGGGCCACAGCAGCCTCACGGTTGCCTTTGAAGGGCCGAAATAATTTTAGGACTGTATAAATGGAACTACTCCTTAACTGTTAAGGAGTTGAATTACATTCAGCCCTTTGAAGGCAACTGCACGGCTGATGTGGCCCCCGGTGAAAATGAGTTTGACAGCCCTGCCTTAGACTACTCTGTGTTTATCCCTCTCCTCTCCTCTCCTCTCCCCTCCCCTCCCCTCCCTCCCTCCCTCCCTCCCCTCCCCTCCCTCCCCTCCCCTCCCCTCCCCCCCCCTCCTCTCCTCTCCTCTCCTTCCATGGGTTTTGGGGGGTTTTTTTGGCCTTAAGACAAAGAACCTGGGAAAATGTAGCACCGTGGTGCAGGACGTCAGCAGCTGGGGAGGCTGTGCACACATGGGCACAGGGGCTACAGGAAAACTCTCTGTACTGCCTATGTAATTTTGCTAGGAACATAAAACTGCTGTAAAAAATAAAGTTCATTAAATGTTTTTAGAAGAGAGACCAGGATAGCCCTGGCTGGTGTGGCTCAGTAGATTGAGTGCTAGCCAAAAGGTTGCTGATTTAATTCCCGGTCAGTCACATGCCTGGGTTGCAAGCCAGGCCCCCAGTTGGGGGCTGCAAGAATTAATCAATCGATGTATCTCTCGCACATTGGTGTTTCCTCCCCCTCTTTCTCTCTTCCTTCCCCTCTCTCTCTCTCTAAATAAATAGAGTCTTTAAAAAGAAAACAAAACAGGCCAGGATATAGGGATCAGGTGATCTGAGCCATTAGTGCCCATTTTATCCCGACCTCCTGACCCCTAAGGCTCTGGGGCAGGAGCCAGGGTGGGCAGCTCCCACACACCCTTGTCTACACCTACTCTAGCTGTCAGTGGAAGGGCAACCCAGGTGACAAAGATCATGTAATACAGAGCCAGGGGCTTGGAGATGCGCCTGAGCTGGAACTGGCCAGAGTGGGCTGGAGGCCAGGGGACAGGCAAGGATGTTTTTAGTAGCAGAAGTAGTTCTAAGACAAGTAAGATGCCAGCAGGAACAAGTAGGAGCAGGAGGGAAGCAGAACTAGGCCAGGGCGAGCATGGCAGACTCCAGAGTCTTGCTGAGGCCCTTCCTGCAAGGGGGGCGGGGGAGGGACACCCAGAGATCTGGTCCAGGGGACAGCTAGCCAGTCATGGCACCCTCAGTAAATCACAGGATCCAGCAGGATCTCTCTGGACCATATTTACTTCCTTTAAAAAAAAAATACGAGGCTTAATCACCTCCAGGTTTGCTTTTCTTGTATAAAATTCTGCTACACCAATAAGGAACAGTTAAAAAAAAAACATTAAGCTGAGCCATAAAAACAAAATATTAATACAAAAGTCACAGAGCTTAACTACTGAAATATGAAAGCAAATCTCTGTACTGGAGTAAATTAGAAGCTTCTTTATTCATTAAATTGGAAAAGCATGTGCTTATTTTCCAATGAAGATAATTCGCTCTAATTACACGCATTGGTTATCTAATGCCCCTGCCTTCACACCCCTGAGCCCTTCTCTCTTGCAGGTAGCTCCACATGGAGTCAGCTCCACGTTGCTGCCGAGGACGAAAGGACCACATTCTACCATCTCTGTCTGCTGCACTTAGATTCTCTGAGTATCTTTCTACCTATATCTTATTTTATTCTGGCAACAATTTAGGGAGGGAAGTAGAAGAAGTAACATTAATATATATGCTGCTTGCAACATTAAGGGCACGTTCCTCTGTGTTTTGCAAGGTGACCTGCCAGATTCAGCCATGACACTATAGTAAGACCAAATGTAAAAGACACCTGAGTTCCTCACGTTGTAAAACAGATGTGCACATCAGGAAAGGGAAAAAGAAGTGAATGCACCGATTTTTTTTAACTATAACATCACTCTCCCACTTATGATTTTAGAGAGATTTTATCTACACTTAGGATTTATCCTCAGTGGTAGAAAAACCCTGACGTTTAGTTTTCCTTTGCTCTAGATGCAGATAACAGTACTCATCGCTGCCATTTAGGGGGTGCTGTACCTTCCTGGGATGTTAGCTTCTGGAGTCAGAAGGCAAGGGAAAATCAACATCAAAGTTATCCCTGAAAAGGAGCCTTGAACCTCCTGTAAAGTAGGGTCTCCAGGACACAGCCTTTCATACCCACTGCTGTGGACAAATATGCGTGTGTGATATTTGATGCATGTGGAAATGTATGATACATAATTTTAAAATACATGTGTAAAATATGGTTTTATGGTATTTCTAATTGAACTATTCATATTGTAATTACTCCCTCTATTTTACTCTTGGGGTTGGAGGAGAGTGGTGGGGGTGGGGACAAGGGCGGAGCATGGAGTTCCTGAAAGTTCAATGCCTGGTTGCTCCAACTCCCCGGTACTGGACACCTAACACGTGCCAGGTCTATTTTGTCACGACCACTCCTTTAGACCAGGGGTCAGCGACCTTTCTCTGTAAAGAGCCAGATAGTCGATATGCCTTACTCTACAGGCCATAAAGTCTCAGGTGCAACTGCTCAGCGCTGCCACTGACGTGTGAAAGCGGCCACAGGCACTGTGTAAACAAACAGGAGGCGGCTGCGTTCCTATCACACCTAACTCACAAAAGCAGGCAGCAGGCTAGACTTGGCCGGGGGCCATAGCTTGTTGACGCTTGCTTCAGATAAACAGTGTGGTTCCCACTCTGCAAACCAATGATGAAATAAAGAACAAACTGAGGGTGAGTGACTGAGCTGGCTGCTCAAGGCCACATAAAGGTACCTTGTTAAACAGTAGGTCTTGGTGCACCCCTAATCCCACCGTTGCCATCACATCATCCTCAGCCTGAGCATCAGCATCGTCACTGTCACTGCCACCATCACCATTATCACCGCTACCATGTGAGCTCACCTTAATCAGGACTTACTGTGTGCCCCGCACTGAGCTCCAGGCTAAGTAGGTAAATCAACTCATTTACTCTTCATGGCTGCCCCATGAAATAGGTGCTGTTATTATCGCACTTGTCAGATGAGGGCACTGAGCCCAGAGGAGGTTAAAAAATGTGTTCAGTGTCACAGAGCTCGTGCGTAGAGGAGCCGTGATTGAATCTGGGCAGTCTGGTCCCAGGGCCTGCAGGCCTCTCTACTACGCTGCTCTGCGCCTGGGTCAGACCTTTAAGGACAAGTACAAGAAAGCCAGAATGCGCTGGGGGAAAAGACTGATTTAAGTAATTCTTTCTGTGACACAGTGTTTTAATATATTTTGGTCTCTTAAAGAAATTAATAAGAGGCTGAAGGAAGATGGAGCTCCCTACTAGCCATATAAATGCCATATAATGCCAAATGTGGAAAGG